AGGTTAAAAATAAATATTTGGCATTGCATTAAAATACCGGCTATAGATAATCATTAGATATGTCAGGATGGCCGAGCGGTCTAAGGCGCCAGACTCAAGGTTCCCCTTGCCTATTCAATAGGTAGCGAGCGTTCTGGTCCTCTCTGAGGGCGTGGGTTCGAATCCCACTTCTGACATTACTTTTTTATTTTTTTTTATTGTTATTATAGAATAAACAATGTAATTTAATTTAAATTTTTGTATTACCATTAAATATTATTTATTTTTTTGTGTCAAATTAGTTCAACTTTAACAACTAGTTTTCATTTTGTCAGTTAAAACGCACGGGTTTTGGTTTAACATACAACGGCTATTATAATTAAACATCAACCTATACAGGAGTAAAATCATAATTTAAGGTAGCTTTTATGTGAAATATGAAAGAATTGGTATAATTTTATCAGTTGCTGTGCATTCCCACAATTAATGAGAAATACTTAAATGCTCCCTATTTATCAAGTCTGGACTTTTTTTATTGTAATATATTAAAGACGTTTATATCTAGTTTTAATTCTGTAATAATTAAAATATGTTTTAAACCTGTATCTTTTATTACAGGTTGAGTATTTTACTTCATGTTTTTAATTTTTGTTAATGTTTAATTTTGTCCAATTATCAACACCAATTTTCATCCAAATATTGATGTTACTTACAGAAATTATTTGGAAAAAAATCGAAATAAAAATGAAAGTTCTACACCCTGTATCTCCAGAAACTAAGCCATTTTAGGACATGCACTATTTATACGAACTTTTTAATTATTTTATCTGCAGTTATACACTGCCAGAATTTCAGATACAGTTTGGACCACCCTGTATATAGGATGTTCTATTACAAAAAAATCCAACTTTAATGCGTAACTTTGTGGGGACACCCTGAAGAACTCTATATATTTTTATAAAATGCTTTCAATTAACTTATTATGTATGCTCACAAAATTTCCTTTCGATATAAACTATACCGTTCTACTTGGAGCCACCCTGTATAATAGAACATGCTTGGGATATCCTAAAATCACAAATAAAGAAACAGAAATAACCCGGTCTTAACGAGAATTGCAACAATTGAAGAATGGGAAAGAATTCTACAGGCCTACCTAGATAATATTGATAGGTAGCATGCCAAAATACACTATTAATTTCAATATTTTTTCTTTGTTTTACACTTTGAATCCACTGAAATTTTGCCGAACACCCTGTATTTCGCTAAACACCGAGACCTAAACAAATCCTGTTCGCCCTATGAGCCACGTAGTGTAATTGAATGCCGCTAAGCGGCAGCACTTGGCTATATTTTGCGCGGGCCTATAATGTATACCCCAGTTTGCCATAGTAACCGCATCCTCTCTTGTTCTCGACGGGGTTGCGTTTAGTTCGGGGTTGGCAATGAAAATAAAATGGGACCCACCATAGGCGACTCGTCAGGGGATAAAATAGTGTATTTTTAAATTAAATCTGCACTGAAAATGTTGTAGAAAACAAAATAAATTAATTGTAAATATGAGACAGGTGCGTCTCAAAGTGAGCTCACCTATAACTTTATTTTTTTATATAAAACAACGAGATTTGGTATGTTGGTATATGACATAAGTCGAGATTGATTGACGTATTCAATTGTGTCTAGTCACTTCTGGTTTCACCCGGAAATGACTACAATTTTTGATTTTTAAATGTCACCCCTCGGTATTTTTTATTTTATTTTTATAGAAAATGCCACTTTGAACAGAATGACATATCATATGTCAACATTTCTGACATAACGATAATTTGACTAGAAATACCAAGTGTGATATCAAATTATTCGTAAAAATGGTTTTTCCAAATATGCTAATGGAGGCTACCCTCGTTCCATTTGAAAAATTGAGATATGATTAAAAATACGATTTGCGCATCTCTTAACCGGGTAGGACAAGACGCTAAAAACATAGACGATCAAATCTGTTTTTCCAAGGCACCTTGATTGAAAATTAGATATTTTTAATGCAGCCATGGCACTCTAGATTGAAATTTAAAATACAATTTGCTTTTTAAGCGAATATACAAAATTGACATATGATATGTCATTCGATTCAGAGTGTCATTTTCTATCGAATAAAGTAAATAAATGCCGAGGGTGCCATTTAAAATCAAAGTTGTAGTCATTTCCGGTGAAACAGTAAATGAGCGAAAACAATTGAATACGTCATTCAATCTTAATTTATGTCATATACTAACATACCAAATCTCGTTATTTTATCTGAAAAATAAAAAGTTATAGGTGTAGACCACTTTTTGAGACGCACCTCGTATAAACAGTTATTATTTACATCAACAAACTCACCTTCTTAACAGCACTTAAGGGACATAAAGGGCCATTACTACCACTTTCCATTCAAAATACAATGAGTTTTTACGGCTATTAAGCTATCTTGTACACATCGCACTAAAAAGAGGTTCTAAAAGAACAATGTTCGACTGCAAGGTCTGCTAGTAAAAAGTTTTAAGCTTAAGGTATCACAACATTTAAACCAAAAAACTAATTTTTTACATTTTTTTGTCTCTTATTAAAAAAATCCTATACACAAGGTTTTAATTGGGACGTTTTGACTGATCAGGCAAGACTGACAGGTAAAACGTTATATGTAGCGGGACTACAATCCATTAACAATTTTAGTATAGTGAAAAAAAAATACAAAAAAATATACAACATTTTTAGAATACTTAGAAATTTAGTCTCTTCTATTTTTAATCACCAAAAAACCCTAAACCCTACGCCCCTGCCGTTCTAACCCTTAATGTCACTAAAGCGGTCCACATCTGTCGATTTTTCATCTCTAGTTGTGCGGTGGCTGTGTAGTTTACATCAAATATTCACAGTGAATCGAAAAAAACACAACATAAACAAATAAAAACCACACAATTCCAAGCCTAAAACAACCCAAAAACTAAAATCAACTCCTTAGTGCACAGTGACGAGACGACATGAAAAAAATCAAGAAAAACACTTTATTTTTGGTTATAATTCAGTTATTTTATTAAAAAAAATATGGATCTAAATTAGTGACATCGGGACTAGTGAATTTTTCGTGCAATACGTGAAAAAGGACGTTTTTAAAAGAAAATGAAGAATCAGCTGATGAATGAAGTTTGTAAAAACTATTTTATTTATAAAACTACCGCAGTTCTAACGTAGTGTTCTTTATTGGACTACTTCGTGTCGTCCGGGGTATACCTACGTGTAAGTCTCCTACAGCATTATAAATAATTAATTAAATAAATAAATAATGAAGTCCTACGAGTGCGATTCGTCTTCGGAGAGCGAAGACACATCCCACGCCATCTGTCGGTCGGTAGGGCAACCGCCGCAGTGGCTCAGAGGTGGCGCTGTCGGATCCACGTGGGGCTGGCAGGGGATTCCTGTAAGTAGGGTAGAGAGAAGTTCTATTGATTCGTTGTTTTGTTTTGTTTTATTTTTTTTTGTTTTTTTGTGTTGTAGTTGGGCACGCCCTTTAAACTGAATCGATATGCGTTGGATAAAGGACAAAGGTTGGAGATTTTAGAATAGTTTTGAAGTTCTATGTAAATTTAGTCATTAGTAATAAAATAAGAAATATTAAAAATTAATAATTTTGATTAAAGCAAATAATAAAAAGAAATCGAAAGAAAAAGTATTAATTTTTATGCTTCCTTACTTCGAAAGGACAAGACAGTAAATAATAAAAAGTTCTATTTGATGCGGACTTTATTTGTGATACTGTATACAGGGTGTTTCAAAAAACATGTGCCATCTCTCGTTTTCCTCATGCAAAAATAAAATTTATTTTTCATATCAACATAGGTCCGATTCTGCTTTGTTTTTAAGCTACAGGCTACAGGGTGATAAAATATTAATAATCTTTCGATTTATTATAATTTTCTTCCAAGTACTTTTTTATTATTCATGTCACTAGACTCGAATGAAATTTTGAGAGTAAAAGTTACTATAAGTGCGACATATTTTAATGCTAATAAATGGAGATAAATTCATCAGGGACGTGCATATGGGTTATCACTGGAATATTTTTTTTAAAAAAGCATGTACGCCACTGACATTTTTTTCTCTTGTTAGCGAAATAGTGTAAGCAGTTTAATGCCGATTAAAAGTTTTCTTTTGATATATTGTCGATTTCGGCCTTCTTGATGAGATAAACGCAATTTTGTTAATTTGCCTTGATCAAGTCTAATAACAACCTTTAAAAATTTTAATATCATTAACTTGCGAAAGTTTTAAATAGGAGTACTCATTGATTTCTCATTAAAAATATAGAAAAAAAAAGTTCCTATAAACATGGGTATGGAAACGCCTAGTTTAGTTACAGGATAGTTAAAAATTTTTTTTAAAATTTAGGTTTTTGTAATTATCTTAAGAAATACCATTATTTTTTTATTTGAAATTGCTGTGGAGTAGGACTAATGGTAATAATAACTAATAGTAATAATATTTAATAATAAATATAGTCAAATATATAATTTATTCATTTTATTTTTATTTTTAAAGTAAGTATTATTAAGTATAATTATTGTGATTAATAAAATTGCGTTTATCTCACCAAAGAAGCCGAATTCGACAAAATATCAAGAGATAACTTTTTAACTGGCATTAAAGGGGCCTACACAATTTTGATATCAAAAGAAAAAGTCAGTGGCGCACATTTTTTTGAAAAAATATTCCAGTGATAACCCATATGCACGTACCTGATGAATTAATCGACACTACTGTGCTACATATTTAATACTAAAATATGTAGCACTTATAGTAACTTTTAACTACAAAATTTCATTCGAATGACTAAAGAGTACTTGGTATAAAAATAAAAAACGAAACTAGAAACTAACTCTCTTTTTTTTGTTACCAGGGTAGTTCAGCTAGTCATTCCCGGGTCCCAGCTCATCCACAGCACCCTTTGGACCACCATCAAGGGTTCCCGTCATTCACCGGTGTCAATTCGCAGGAAGAGCCACCAAGTGCCTGGGAGGAGAACTCCTCTTGGTGCTGTTGGTTTGGGAGGATTCTATTTCCAGGGATGCCAACAGAACATGACCACAGCTCATGGACCCCCTTCGGACGAGAACAACCCTGATCCGGGCTGTTCAGGACAGAATAGCAATCGGTAAATATAAATAGTGTGTTACTTACTTACCGCCATTACTCGCTGACGTGTATTTGACATGTATCAGATGATGATTACGCAGGGCGTTTACTTTCATGAGCTTTTGTGTGACTGAAAAGCCCGATACGTGATTTTATCTCTCTTCTACACTCCGGACATTCATTATTTTGCCTTTTTACTTTTTGGTTGTCGTTGTTAACTGAGTTTACAATAATTCTTCTCCATTGCGTTCTATTGTGCGCTGCTTTTTCTCACTGATTCTGTATGCATAGCCTCTTTAAGTTTTCGTGAAAAATATCCCTGTACCTTTTAAGTTAATAGTGCTTCCTCTTACCCTCTAAAAGCTCACCGTAAGGAAGAGTTTTTGGTAGGCGGTTTTCTTGCATCCTGCAGAAGTGACCAGCCCATCTTTAGTAATCATGACTTCAGCGCTCTCGCAGCTGGCTTTTTCAAGAACCGATACATTTGAGACATGGTGGTACAATTTGGTGGTACAATTTGATTCCTAGCAGTTGTCTAAGATGTCTCTGTTGCCAATTGTTTAATGCGTTCATATGGTACACGGCGCCCAGGTTTCGCTTCCATTTAACATGGTGGGGATTATTGCTTGCTCGGTACACGGCAAGTTTCGTTTTGTGCTCAAGTCATGATTGCTTAGAAAACCCTGTCTTTTAATTTCCAGAATGTCCTTGTTATTATACTGTACTTAGCATTTCAGGAGATATATAGGTTGATTCTCACCATACCTTTCATATCAGCTCCTTTCCCTTTTCCTTTCGTTTACATAAAATATATCGCCGTAAAATGAATAGGACAATGCACTATCCGTTCCGTTTCCCTTCGTTCCATATCCTTTCCCTTCCATACATTTTTTGGCGGACGCACTAAAGCATATCTGAAACAGCGTTGTCAAGTTCTTACATTTTGTGTACCAGCTCTGTAAAATGTTGTTGATATTTATTTATTCTGTCACCTCTTAATTAAATCTATTGCACCTTTTCCAGAATATATAAATTTTAAAATAAAATTTTGTAATGATATAAATTGTACAATAAAGAGTATAGAACTGATACCCGGAACGGATATGGAATGGATATAAAATGGAAACGGAAGGTATAGTGAGAATCAAGCCTTATCTCTTCTTATCGTCAGAAACAAAAAAACACAAGAACAAAAACCTATGTAATATACAAGGTGTTTCAAAAACATGTGCCATCTCTCGTGGAGAATCGGATCTCGATTCTGCTTTATTGATTACAGGGTGTTAAAGTCTTAATAATCTTTCAATTATTATAGTTTTCTTCTAAGTCCTTTGAGTGATTCTAATAAAATTTTGAGGGTAAAAGTCACTATAGAGGTGCTACATATTTTAATGCTAAAAAAGTGTCGAAAATTCAGTGTGTCGGGTTATTACTGGAATATTTTCAAATAAAAACATATGAGCCACTAATTTTTTTTTTTTCTTTTGATATCAAATTGTCTAGAGCCGTTTAATGCCAATTAAATGTTATCTCTTGATATTTCGCCGAATTCGACCTCCTTGATGAGATAAACGCAATTTTTATTAATCGCAATTAATAAAATAATAATAAAATTAATAAATTAAATATTTTACCTAATTTATTATTAAATAGTATTACTATCAGTTATTATTACTATTAGTCCAACCTACAAGCAATTTCAAATAAAAACTTATAGTTTTTAAGATAATTATATAAAACCTAATTTTAAAATGTTTTAACATCCTGTAACTCTAAAACTATGCATCTCCATACTCATGTTTATAGGAACTTTTTTTCATATATTTTGATGAGAAGTGGCGTACATGATTTTTTTAGAAAAATATTCCAGTGATAACCCATATGCACGTCTTTGGTGAATATGTCGACACTTTTGTAGCTTTAAATATGTCGCATTTATAGTAACTTTTACCCTTAAAATTTCATTAGAAACGCTAAAAGTACTTGGAAGAAAATTATAATACATCGAAAAAATATTAAGATACCCTAGAACACCCTGTACCTACGAAACAAAGCAGAATCGGATCTATGTCGATATGGAAAATAAATCTTATTTTTACGTGAGGAATCTCCCCACGAGAGATGGCACATGTTTTTTGAAACACCATGTATTTAAATACAACTATTCAAGAACACGCTGGTTTTTAGCAGACACGTCTATTATAAATCGTTGGCTTCCATTATTCTCTGCACCGTACAGTAGATTGCTATTTATAAGGGGTTTTCATATGTATTAATCCTCCGTTTTTTTCCCTATTCCCTTACTCCAAAATACTATATTCAGACAGTTAATAGTTCTTCTTGCTTGTGTTATTCTTTTTTAAGCCACTTTATCATTTTTACCTGTTGTATGAAGCAGTTGCATAAATAATATTCTTGAACTGATAACTATTATAGTGATAAACTTCTAGAAGTCACTGGATTTATACCACTATATATCTACCACTTTTTATTCCAGTTCTTTGGAGTCGAAATCATCATCCAACCCTAATGTTTCCATTAAGGGCAAAGGTCGCCAAGGCAAGTCTGTCCGACTTAACATCAACGCCAGGGAAAGAAGAAGGATGCATGATTTGAACGATGCTCTTGATGAATTAAGGGCTGTCATACCTTACGCGCATTCCCCTTCAGTTAGGAAACTGTCCAAAATTGCTACGTTGTTGCTGGCTAAGAACTACATCTTGATGCAGGCCAACGCTTTGGAAGAAATGAAGAGGCTGATAGCGTAT